CCTTGCTTTGGGACAATCAAGCCAAAGAGTTGTTCAAAGGATAGTGATACAAATATAATCCCTGCCAACTTCAAAACCTTAATTAATTCTTAACTAGCACACATCATTAATTGATACCCACGCCCCCCTGCAGCAGCCTCATACAGGGCTCCCTGCTGGGAGGGGGGGTAATTGTCAGGTTGGAGGGCCTTGAGAGGATTCTGCTGTGAATTCTAATGATCCCACTGTGGCCTGTTACTATCTAATGAACTACACTTCCCTTTAATTCAAGTATAATAAAACTCTATCTACTAATAATCCAAGCAATAAGTGTGACTGCAACCAGCTGCAGCTTTTGTAAGACTAAACTGCTAATCACGCTAACACCTCTATTGTACAAATGACCTGCACTCACAAATACACACTAAAATGTAAATATATTTAACAATCCTAACTCAAATGTATTCAGTATTCATTCAATAGATCATCGTTTGACCTTGTTGTTGTGGTATCTTGTTTCAACAGTTACTTGTATTTTTAATTGTATTGTCCTTTTGTTTCACTCTTACTCTGTTTCTGCTTCCACTCCTGGAGAATAAAGGTCATTCTTATCTTATTTTGTCTTTTGTTCTTTGTCATGCTTATTTGAAATATTCTGGAAATGAGTCCTCATGAACCTGTCTTCAGATGTCAGCTGTTAAACCAAGATGGCCGTCTTTAGATGTGCACTTCTGTCCTCCATCAGCTCAGTGTGATATTATATCATACAATAGTTATCCTCAGGCTGAAGGAGAGGACTCTATTTTGACTCTCTTTGTGCAAGTGTTTCCCCAGAGTGCTGGAGATGGGGCACAGAAAAGACCATCTTAGCCGAAGGATGCCATGGCGACCAGCTTCTCCACGGACTTCTTTCTTTCCAAAGTCCTTGAGAAGCACATGTCAAATATTTCCCCCTGAAGCTCGTCCCTGTGCACGACCATGAATGGTCTTCTTTCTAAAATGAAGCCAGAAATACCAATATCTCAGTACATCTAAATAATTCAGCAACCCCCCCCCCCTAAAGAGCAGACACCTTACAACTGCACAAAGGCAGATGGGGGTCCTTGCACCGCACTACAACAAAATGTGGCCTTATTCTAATTAAGTAGATGAGTTCATTAGTGCTCTGGCTGGGGCTCCTGTGCTGTCTGCAGAGGTCAGTGAAGCCCTCACTGGATCATCCTCATTACATCTCAGTGGGCGCTGCCTCTTAAACAGATGGAGAAATGGAAGTCAGCTCCATTCCTGCTCGTACCTCTGCTAAGACCCAGCACTCACCAGGAACAGGCCTCAGTGAAATCCATTTCATTATATGTATCAATAAAACAGCACCGGCACCGTTTCCAAGTTGGGATTCAATGCTCTGATGAGTGGACAACACTGCCATCTAAAGGATGAAGATAGTACTGCAGCCATGATAGGATGACAGCTCTGTAACACATGCTGACATTAAGGTAGCAGCTGCAGCACTGATAATAGAGGATTAATAATGTAATGACTACCTTATTAGTAGATGTATATGTGTTAACATACACGTGTTGTGCTGTAAAGTGCTACTGTCCCCTTTTGTTTATGTATATAGTACACTGTATTTAGATTGGTATATTAGAGAGTATTCTAATTTATTCTGTATAATGTATAGTGTGTATTCTTAGATACTCTTCTGAATATATGTATTTTCTCCTCTGAATATGTATATATGTGCTTTTAATGTTTGTTTAATTGTATTTGTATATTATTCTATTTTTAAGAAATAATGTAATTCCTGTACGATGAATGTTCAAAATGCTGCTGTGAGCTGCACTAACACAGTACGTTTGTATCTAAATGGATGGAATAACTGTATAAACCATCTGTGTAGAGTGTTGGAGCATCTTTCAGTTTCATTGTTTCAGTACACAGCCTGCTAAGCAGCACATATCAGAATCAGCCAGCAGCTGGTGAACAAAATATGTGTTGCATGTTTAAGAAAAGAGAATAGTTGATTAAAGCAATGCTTTTTTTTTAATCAAATACTTCACTTTGTTTTACAATAACCCACGTACCTGAACTCTTGAAGTAACTCCTTTGTGTCCCATGCCTTCATGGTGAATGAAAAATCGAAAGTTGGAGAAAGGTCTTGATGAATTGTGGTAGTTTTGAAACATATGTTTATATTCTAATCGTGTTTTATTTTTTTATCTCTATCTTTACTTTTGCTGTCAAAAAAATAAAAGTCCCCTCTGTGGGACGAATAAAGGTATTCTGATTATAATATAGTTTTGTTGTTGTGAAACACAACCTCAATTGACTTGAACTCATCGAGATAGAATTCTTAGCTCACCCTTGAGGTATGCGAGAAAATGTCATTTTTTTCAAGTGAACTCGAGGCGAGTCTTTGAAGAAACACTCCCTTTGCTGGTGAAGTATTCCTTCAAACCGTCAGGGCGTAGCACAGTAACAGTAGCCATTAAGCATCCTGGAAGAGTTATGGTCTTAATTGAAACTTGCCATGGAGTTATTTACCAGCTCTGACGGCAGTAGTTTAGAGGGGATATATTTCAATAAGATTTACAGTGGGTTTGTGGCGAGGACTTACTCATGTCCTTGGTATTTCTCAAGTCCTAGCAACAAAAGACATCTTACACATTCACCATATTGTTCCGGATGTCTAATTGTATCAAACATGTTTAGATATGTGCTCCACTCCAGCAGTAATTCTATTGTTTAAAACCATTTATTTATTTATCCAACTTGTGAATAAATATGATTCTCTTCTGTTGTGTTCTTATGTCACATGAATCCTACTGCCTCAAGGCCACGTTCATCATTAACCTTCCACAATGAATCCACTTTGCTCGTCGTCCCACACACTCATCTCGTGTTCTGAGATAAGTGGCTTATTCCAGTCCGGCAGCAGACACACACGCACTGTGATTATAATGCAGAGGGTGTTGTCTTGGAGATAGTGGTGGATGGGGATTATGAGGCTAATTCCTGTATAACTTTCTCCCTCATTAATCTCAGAGGAGGGATACGAGATTCTCTAAATGCTAATGTCCAATAAAGATGTCAGCAGTGACATTTTACAGTGACGGCGCAGATGTGAGCGGAGTGATCCGTGTTGTTGTGGAAGAGCTTTCCTCACTCTAATCTAAACTCGGCTCACTTTCATTTCCTCTCTGGCAATTACACATCATTGTGTTATGATCAGCATATTTATGCTTTGTTGGCGAGTCATGATATAAACATTTTGTCCTCAGGTTGAGTTCTTGTCCTCACAAATAACTAACTTTTTGAAGGTCTCGGATCATTTTCAAACTCAGGTTGATTTGCTTTCATTTAATCACAATGTTTACAGGAAATGAGTTGATGTCAATGTGGCAAAAAAGATGAGGCGCAAACAGTGGAATACATCCTCCAACCTCAAGGTGGTTCCAGCAAACACCCATGGACGAAACATTAATACTGTATTTCCTTAAAAGCATCTATTGATCAATAAAAAACAATTGACGTATTAATCACTGGGGCCTTCTGTTATAATTCAAATCCCTTTGTAGAGGATTAGTTTAACAAAATGAAGGTAGATTATGAAATGTACTGAAACTACTTCCTTTGCTCTTCTGTTCCAAGGACGCATGACTTAGAGAAGATCCCTGGTGAGGGGATTAGATGGTGTCCGACACGCTGCCCCTCCATGCTGAGCAGGAGAGCGTGAGCACACTAAAGGTTTGCATTATATCGATCTCTGCTCTCATGATCTCTGTAGGCGAACTCTGCGTCCTTGGAGCCGTGCGGGATTCTTCCGAACGGAGCGTGGTCGTTGGAACACGAGTCGAACACTTCGTCCACTATTTTCTGCGCCTCCTCCGCGCTGATCTTCCTCACAGCGAGGATGGAGCGAAGGGCGCGGTCTCTGACACACTCCTGTCCCAAGAAAAACATAAAGTCAGTGTTCTGATCATCACATCATCCTGAAGCATCCCAGAGAAGGTCCGCTGTCTCCGGTACCTGATGGTGCTGCTTCATGCCGAAGTTAAATCTGGACACTTCTGAGCTGAAGGAGCAGTCTCCACTCAGGTTAGCCGCCCGGATCTGAAAATAACACACAGAAGAGTCCTTGTACAATCAGTGTTGGAGCTATATATTGATTGAAATGATTTAATTATTAGTAAAACCTTTATTTTCTTGCCGTTTTCGTAAATGTATCTTTTATTTTACTGTAATTTAAGTTCATTGAAGTAGCTGTTTTATGCTTTTATTTTGAAGGCAGCTTTGGGCACTGGGTGATATGTTCCTATTGGAGACAGGTGGTGGTGGGATCAGCACAGCAGAAAAGTAGAGCCATAGGAAAGGCTGCAGGGAAAGGAAAGGTGAGACCATTGTTAAAATAGGATGTAGGAACCGACGTTCTTGCGTGGACTTGGATCATTCCCTGCGTAAGATTGTCTAGCAGGTGCCTCAGCGGCAGTATTCATCTTGAGTTTGAATGATTAAGTCTTAATGATTTTCGCCACTACAATCAGCAAGAAGAATGTATAGGTCAGCAGAATAATGATATGAGAAAACGATTTAAAAACTGCCACCTCCAGTGATTTAAAGTAGCTTTAGGTTTGAGGCTGCTGAGGCCATACATGCTCACAGGCTGACTAAGTGTTTATCAACCTTGTGTTTAGAAACAGCCGTCCACCAAATACAGTAAGTAACATTTGGTGAAACGATCAAGCCCAGCTGAGAGAGGGAATGAGTTTTGTAGGAGCCAAAATGTCTTACTATAAATGTCTTGTTTAAACATATGACCTGTATATTTTTGCCACATTATATATTAATTTAATTGCCTTATGTTCTTGGTTTAAGGAAATGAATTATTATTATATTTTTTCTGACAAGCCAATATGGAGCCTGGCCCGGCTACACCCCCTTTCCCCATGTACCTTTATACCGGCAGTAAAGCAGGTAGAGCAGTATCACAGTTTTTGACCGCATTTTTTCCGTATAAATATGCCTCCTTTATTAAACCTTTTATTTTGTTGGGGTACTTATACCCGGCTATTGTGGGCTGTTCTACAACACATATTGTGCTTTGAAACCGTGGGATCCTCTTCTTTAGTTTGGACTGCCATCATATCAACTGCATCGTCTCCTGGAGACTCAGGGTAAGTCTGCCGCTTGGATTGTCTTTACATCCTGCTTTTAAAGAGTATTGGCAGAATAAACTGCTTATTGGAAATGTGAGTGTTTTGGCAATTTGTGTACACATTAATGTCAAAGAGCAATATTATCCACACAATGGCAGTTATTCAGAGACTAATATTAAACTAGCCACAGCTTCAGCTGCACATAAATACAGGCAGACACTCAGTCTGACCTCAGAGCAGGCCAGGTGCCTCAGGTTGTTGAACCAGTCCACGTGGGCCCGGCAGTGGTCGAAGGCATGGATGAGCTCGTGTGTGACCACCCTGTTCATGTGGGACTGCTGGTGGATGTTGTTCTGACACAAAACGATCTTCAAACAAAAAAACATCTCATTATCCTTGAGCAGCAAACTCTTAACATGATCAGAACCTCATCTTTATTAGTGCGCACATCTCCTACCTGAGAAGACGCCACGTCAAAGCCTCCGCTCACCGACCCATCACAATCTTCACAGGCAAAATGCCGGTCTCTGATAACCTTGCTGTGTCAGAGGAGGGCGTAGAGTCATCATGATGTACTTTACAGATGTGGATTAATGATGTGAAATGTAATCAACTCTTAAATCAGACTTTAGTTACACCTGGAGTAAATTGAACTTGTACTTTTACTTAAATACCCGATCTGAGTACTTCTCCCCCTCAGTTTATATATTTCATTCTAAATGATACTTACCATCCCGAGCTGTTCATGGCACTGAGGAGCAGTTTGGCGTACGGACCTGAGAGAGACAGAGCAGTTAGAGCTGAATGTGGATCAATGACAGGAGCCACTGAGAGCTACATGTGGCTAACACTACCTGCTGCTACTCTGACAGCCAGCTCCCAACATGAACACAGCAGGACGATGTGAAATGAACAACACATGAGACAGAAAGCACATCATTCAACTGTCCCTGCTGAAAGGACACCAGCTTGTTAAAACACTCACTGGTTTCCATTGCGAGCTTCAACATGATCTCACACTTGAATTGGGAAGTGAACAGGGACTTTACGAATGATTTCTCTTTCTTAGACCCCGTGTTTCTCTCCGGGAATAACTCGTATCCATATTCCTTCTCTTGTTTAGACTGGTCCATTGTGTGAAGTGTTAGCAGGAGTTAGCTACAGCTAGCAAGCAGGAGAGAGGTCATCACTGTTTTGTAGATCACGTGGTCGCAAAAGGTCAAAGGTAAATAATGGAAATGGTTAGTTATAATTTAATTTCCATCGCTTTTATATCATAAAGTACATAAACATAACAAACTCCAAAAGTCAATTAAAATCATATTTTACAAACACAGTTTTGTTTTAATAGTATACGGTATAGATCGTCTATTCATACCGTGCAGGCAAGACGTCAACTTCAAGCACCAAAACAACTGAGCCATTAGACGTGTGCAAACTGTCTTTTGGAAACTAGAACATTAACCGTTTTAACCATAGACTGTGTATATAAGGTTTTAACACGACACTTCGAAAAGGTCCTGGCTGTTTTGTAAGTATATATTTTTTTATATTTAATTTTAGTGAGTTGAGTTTATAGTATAATGTGTCGTGTTCTACGGTCTACCCATGGCATGGATGTATAGGGTCTACCGGTCATTTCAGTCAGTTTGCGATTTTAGTTTTGTAGTAAGTGAGTGTTCGTAGCATAGAAGATCTTTGTTTCAACCAGCGCAAAGGCTGCTGGTACTCGGCTGTCATGGCTCCGAACGTAAACAGAGAGTTATAAATACCGACACATTTTACTTTAGTATTTAGCCAAATTAACTGCAGGGACATTATAACTATAACTGTCAGGCAGAGAAACACGTCACAGGTACTTTAGAGGGTTCAAGGGTCTACAGGGTCACTTGAATGTACTTTATTTGCTCGAAATGTTTGGTATTTGTGCTAGCTACGTAAGCTATCTAGCTGCTAGCCTCACGTGCATGGCAGCATGATTCTCGTGTTTTCTACAAGGTAAACATTTCTGAAAAACGAATGTGTGTTTGGCAGGGAGAAACATGTCCGTGGGAAACAAAGCTATTGAGTTACAGCTCCAGATGCGGCAAAACGCGGAGGATCTGCAGAGCTACATGTCCGAGCTGCAGAGCTGGGAGACGGACATCAAGAAGAGAGACGAGGAACTGAGGACCGGAGGACTGCAGCAGGACCAGGTCTGTCTGTCTGTCTGTCTGTTTGCACATCTGTCTGTCTGTCTGCACATCTGTCTGCGCATCTGTCTGTCTCTCTGCACATCTATCTATCTATCCATCTATCTATCTATCTATCTATCTATCTATCTATCTATCTATCTATCTATCTATCTATCTATCTATCTATAGTGGTTGAAAGTAACTAAGAACATTTACTCAAGTATTGTAATTATAAATAATATAATAATACATTTGATTTATATTGCACACTTTAAAGACAAACGTTATCTCAAGGTGCTTCACAAAGCTATAAGGAAAAAGTACATACATTGTACTTTACTTGACTATGTCCATGTAATGCTACTTTATACTTTGTGCATATAAAAGCACACAATATGCTGATCTGGTATAATGCAGTGGTGTTGTACTAATATAAATAGTATTTCAAGTATATTCATTTGGTTCACATCGAGAAAACCACAAAACTAAAATGCTATTACATGTAAAAAAATAAAACTGGATAATATAATACCCGTAACAATAAAACACTTTGAAAACATCCATTCTGCTTAACCAATACTTCAGCTGATAATACCTTTCTACTTCTAAGTAAGTACCATTTTTAGTTTAAGACCATAGTATTTGTACTTTTACCCAAGTAATGGATCTGAGTACTTCTTCCAACACTATCCATCCTCTCTCTCTCTCTCTCTCTCTCTCTCTCTGAGTAAAATAGGTGTTTATCACTCTACTTTCACCACAGCAGGGACTGAGATACATTAGGACTGAAGAATGACTTCATATTACATACCAAGGTTCCTGTGATGTGTACAAATACAAATTGAGCATTCAAACATTTTTTTTCAACCAACAATTTATTATAAATATGTTTTTTTCAACCAACTATTTATATAAATATAAGAAACTGGAAAATCTCACTATTTACAATATTGAACATCAGAACTTTCAACCAATTCTTCATTATAAATGTCAAGACAGTGTCAAGGTCTTTGTCTGTCTTCCAAAACAGTGGGTCTGGCTGCTGTGAAGATGGGGGTGATGGTGCATGGGCTGCTGTGTAGGTGGGAGGTACAAGTGCTATACGAGGCCTCCACGAGACCTCCTTGCTGGCTGGGTTGAAGGTGATGGCTGTGGTGGAGCCTTTGTGCTGAGGTGTATCTTGACCTGGTGGCAGGCACAGATGGAGGTGGAGGCAGCTGGTCGTCTGCTGGTCCTTGGTGGTGATGGCTCTGGTGAAGGCCCTTGAGCCACAGTAGATCTTGACCTGGGGGCCAACACAGATGGATGTTCTGGCTGTAAAACAAATTAAAATGTAGGACAATAATTACAACAAATTTCATTGAAATAAAGTTCAAGTAAAATGTTGCTCAAGCACAAATAACAATGCACACATAAAAATAAAGTTTGGGAGGTTGGACAGGAGTCTCTCTCTCTCTCTCTCTCTCACACAGGTATTTCCAGTTACTTTACATTCAGTATAAAATCACAGACACACATATACATAGGCTACATCTTATTACAAAGTCTCATCTGTACAGGACGGTAAAATAAGAAACAGGCACACATATAAATAAATCTATGACAAAGTCTCATCTGTACAGAACAGTATGATAAAATAATCACAGGCACACATATAAATAAATCTATGACAGCCTCATCTGTACAGAACAGTATGATAAAATAATCGATGGCAAAAACATGTCTATAGCCACTGTAAATGTCTCCGTTGCTGGACGAATACATATGATTATACAATTTGAATACAACCACATTAATCTTTATGTAAATAGGACACACCTCTTTTTATGCATTTTAGCACTCTAAATATTTTTATATAATAATTGATGGAAAAATTAGCTTATTTCTCAGTACCTCCAGGTCATGTGACCTGGAAGGTACTGTAAAAGAAATAGCTAATTTTTCCATCAATTATTAATATAAAAGTATTTAGAGTGCTAAAATGCAATAAGAAAAGAGGTGTTCCTATTTACATAAAGATTACATGTGGTTGTATCTCAAATTGTATTCAATCATTATGTATTCGTTCCAGCAACGGTGATTTACAGTGAGCATATAGACATGTTTTGCCATTCGATTATTTAATATCATCACTGTCTGTACAGATGAGGCTGGTCATAGATTATGTAAATGTCGTGCCTGTGTTATTTTATCATACTGTTCTGTACAGATGAGACTTTGTCATAGATTGTTTTATTGTGTGCCTGTGATTATTTCCGTCCTGTACAGATGAGACTTTTAATTAGATGTAGCCTATGTTATTATGTGTGTCTGTGATTTTTATACTGAATGTAAAGAAAACTGGAATATACCTTGTGTGTGTGTGTGTTGTGTGTGTTGTGTTGTGTGTGTGTTGTTGTGTGTGTGTGGTGTAGTTGTGTGTGGTGTGTGTGTGTGTGTGTGTGTAGTGTGTNACAAAATATAATAAAATAAACATTAAGGTGCAGCATTTCGATGAACTGAAATAATCTGTATTTGAACTGTACTGTACTAGTACCTAAGCAGCCAGTTTGACATTATGACTTGCTTGTCATTGTATTTTCCTGTTTTTTTAAGAAAAATTAACTTGTCCACATTTCTTGCCGAAAGGGCAGATCTGCTGGCACTAACAATGTCTCCTGCTGTTGAAAACACCCTCTCGCTAGGGACAGAGGTAGCAGATAAAGCCAGGTAGCGCTTTGCTAAAATGGCAACATAAGGATATTTGGCGTTTGTAATAGCTTTGGCTCGGTCTGAACTTTTTGCGAGTGGTGGAGGCTTAAATGCTAGTGGGAGTTGGGTTTGCACTTCAGTGTTTTTTCTTTTGGTACCGGTGATATTCACGTTCGGGTGATGCCTTTTCAAATGAGAGTGCAAGTCTGATGTATTGCCAGCCGTGTAAACAATTTTAGTTGAACAATGCCGACAAACAGCTTTGGTTCGGTCCACCTGTCTTTGTCCGTCATCCTTGTACGTAACTGCAAAACCTAAATGTTCCCAAACCGGAGACTTTATCTGCGTTGGCCATTTCGACAGTTCCTCAAATTATTGACTAAATTTGAACGCATCCCTGTGACCAGCTCTCATAGTATGCCTCTCGTCCAATGAAATGACTTGGTTGCTCTATGACGCGTTGAACCCAATGTGAGAAAATTACTTCCCAAAAGTTGTTCACGTTCTACATTTTTTACGTTTAACGTTATATTCGTTCTGTACACTTCGGTACACACGTGTACCGAACCGAAGGGCCCGTACCGAATAATTTCGGTACGAATACGTATACCGTTACACCCCTAATATCTATCTATCTATCTCTCTCTCTCTCTATGGAGCACGTCATGTTCTGGATGGTCTTCAGGCGTTTGCAGCTTGTTGTCTCTGTGTTATAGAAGAATCTCCCACCTGTGCGCAACATAGACTACAAAACAAAAATGAGGGAAAGAAAGAAGAAGAAGAAGAAGGAGGCAATGAGCAACGGAGACGCCAAGGCAGGGGAGTCAAAGGACGCCTCCAGGATCAAAGCATACGACTATAAATCATGGGACAAGTTTGACGTGGTAGCTAAAGCATCCCAATGAAATCTCAAATGGTCTGGTGAGGTCATAGAGTAGTTCACTCAGTATCTCTTCTTCTGTGGTGGCAGGACCAGGCTCTGGCAGAGATGGATAAGGAGGAAAGTCCTGCAGAGTCCAATGAGTCGGACTCCGAGTCGGAAGCTGACCGGGTCAAAATGCTGGCTGAGAAAGAAAAGGTAAGCACGGCAATACAAAACAAGTGAAGAGAAGAAGACTGTTTCCTGAAGCAGATTATACTTGTGTTTTCAGGGTAACGCGTTTTTCAAAGAGGGAAAGTACAACGATGCTGTGGAGTGTTACACCAGGGGGATGGCTGCAGACCCCTACAACCCTGTGCTGCCCACCAACAGAGCCTCCTCCTTCTTCAGACTGAAAAAGTGAAAAGCATAGACAATAACAATATCAAGGAAGGCTGCTGTTTTGCACACAACTTATGTATTTAAATAGTTTGAATACATGTAACAGCATGCAGCCTGTCTGTGTTGTTCTGAAAGAGTGTGTTCCCCCAGGTATGCTGTGGCAGAGTCCGACTGTAACCTGGCCATCGCTCTGGACAGCAACTACTTCAGAGCGTATGCTCGGAGAGGAGCAGCGCGGGCTGCCCTGAAGAAATATGAATGTGCATTAGAAGGTGATAAACTGTTGAAAGGATTAGGCCGTCTGTCGTGCACACTGAGGTCACACTGAATATGTTTCTGTATAGATTACGAGATGGTTCTCAAGCTCGACCCAGGGAACATGGAGGCACAGAATGAAGTGAAACATATCACAGAGGTGAGCGGCAAAGCATCATTTTAGGGTCTAGCCTCATTTCTCAAGTCCTCTTCTCTTTATCTCCTCACAATCATTGACTGCTTTCAGACTCTCCGACATCAGGCGCCTGCCGTCCTGAGTGAAGCCACACAGGAGGCCCCCACAGTGGCCCCGGAGCAGCAGGAAGGACAGGGGGAGGAGAGGAGACAGGAGGAGGAGGAGGAGGAGCAGCAGAGGCGACAGGAGGCGGCTGTACAAAAGGACAGGGTAAGCTTTGCCACATGTTGGGGGCTAATATGAAACATATATGGAAAAGTGTCCATGTGAGGAGAAGTTGTATGGTTCCAGACATTTTCATTCTGCCATTTCATTTGTCACATTTAGAACTATTGCTTTAGGTTAAAAAAAGAGTGTGTGGTTTTGTTCTTATCATAAGAAGTGGGAAGAAGCCAGATGATGTGATGCTGTTTCTTTGGATTCTGATGTTCTTTGAACAGGAAGTAATGGAGCAGTGTTCATTTTGAAACAGTCTTTTGAAGTGTTCTGACTGTGCCTTTCAGGGGAATGCTTATTTCAAGGAGGGGAAGTACGAAGCGGCCGTGGAGTGCTACAGCAGAGGCATGGAGGCGGACAGCTTGAACGTGCTGCTGCCCGCCAACAGAGCCATGGCCTTCCTCAAGCTTGAGAGGTGAGCACAGCTTGTGCTTCTGCACGCACTTTCTGTTCAGAGTCAAAACTAAAACCTTGCATATTGTTTTGTTGTGTTTGCTGCAGGTATAAGGAGGCGGAGGAGGACTGCACCAAAGCCCTTTCTCTGGATAGAACCTACACTAAGGCTTTCGCCCGCCGGGCCACTGCCAGAGCGGCTCTAGGGAAGCTGCAGGAGGCCAGACAAGGTGCTGAGCAGTGTGCACTACACTGTGCTGCAGGCAAACAGCAGCAACTCACTACAGGAATACACAATATACTGTATATAGGGCCGATACATGATGTTAGTCTGGGTCTCTTTGGTTTCCATCTTTACTTGTGTGGAAAAGTATGTTTTGTCCTGGTCAGCCCGTTCAAAAATTAGACTGTTTTTTTATTTCGGGACAATGTTTAACTAAACTTGTAACCATCTTACTAAAGTCATCTTAACTTGAATTGACCAACAAATCACTGAGTTAAAACCAGTGTGTGATTGTTTGTGTGAACAGATTTTCAGGAGGTGTTAAAACTGGAACCAGGGAACAAGCAGGCCCTGAACGAGCTGCAGAAACTCCACATGGTATGTTTTCCTCGTAGAGACGGATGTATATTCCTCTCCTTGGTTTGAACCCCCTCTGGCTTTGAGCATTGATTCTGGAATCCATAGCTCGTTGACAGGACTCTTTGGCATGTCTCTCAGGTTTCATCCTCACCAGCCTACTCGTGTGTTTCAGGGTGCGGCCCCCAGTGGCCTGCTGCAGACTGCAGATGGCTCACACAGGAGAACCGTGGAGCCCATAGACAAGCCAACACATCTGCAGTCAGCTGTGAGTCTCTCCTGATCCAGCACTGTCTCTGCACGCTGCCACACTGAAGGCAGATTAGTAGAAGATAATAATTCAACTGTGGTGTGATCTGACTATATTCCAGGTGAAAGCTGCAGGATAATGTGTGTTTCTTTTTGAAGGTATCCTTTCACTATTGAATGTATCGTAGATCACAGAAGGTTATCTACAGAGGCAGTTCATTTTGGCAGCGATTTAAGCTTTATTCTTCAGAAGCAAAATGCTTTAGTTATTCTATTGTAGGTTTTAATTCATGTTGCTCACAATGTCAAGTTTCAGTTTTTTTATTTAGTGTTGCTTCAAATGTCACTTTTAGTCATCAGATTATATAAAATATTTCAGTCTATTTAGTCTAGACCAGGGGCCGTATTCACAAAGCATTTTATCTTACCGCTAGGAGTGCTCCTAACTCGCGTTAAAACATTTTACGTAGGAGTTTTTTCTTAAAAGTTATTCACAAAGCCGCTGAGACCTACTCATACTAAGGATAAATCACTAAGAGTGAACTAAGAGTGACGCGCCGTTGCTATGGATAACGTCGATTCTCGTGCATGAGTTTAGAAGCGGTCAGTACGGTGATTGGTTGTTCAGAGCAGGCGGTCTCGGTGAAACTCATCCGCAACATCCCACAAACGAGCCCACTAAATCACCGAAAAACAAGGAAATAGCCTAGGCTAGAAATGTATTCCTATCAAATAGTTATGGACAGTGCAGTTAGCAGAATACACGCATGATGACAAGTTTGTGCAGACCACGATAATGACGTTGTATATGCACGTTAAAGAGAGAGAGCAAACAATACAAATACGTAAATTGCATTAAATCAAGGAGGCAATTAAAAGCACCCTGCAAACTATTATCCAATGAGCATATTTCCAGCACTTAAACACTTTCAATAACAGCCCATACCGCCGTTCAAGCCCCCCTATCATGATGAATGAAAACAATCTGCGTGTTGATGGAATGTACTTTCTTTCTATTGACGAACACGTCCTCATCTTTTGATGGCGCAATTATTTTTATGTGCGTCCCGTCAATAGCACCGACCACACCGGGCATACCTGCAATTGCCATGAAGTTGGCTTTGATCCTGTGTAGTTGTTGATTGTCCAAAGGAAACCGGATAAACTGTTGGATGATATGTGGTCTAGAGAGCGCGTTGATGGTTTGGTTTATGGCACGGCTGACTGATGGTTGCGATATTCCTAAATCGTCGGCATTGCAAAGTTGCATTTTCTAGCATGTTTCTATACACGCTAATCGTATGCTCTCAGGTGGAAATCTGTGTATTCGTTCTCGCGATATGGAGACACCATTTCTACATAGATAACTAAGGTATAATCGGGAGATTTCGCTATTTTTAGTATACAGTTCCTTTCTTGTCCCTGTTAAAGATGGGACTAGGAGATAAGTTTATCGTAGCGATACCGGATAAACATACCTTCGTTTGAAATGTAAAATACCTAGATTCGTCACTAGGTCGAAATTACCTGTCCCACTATAGCTTTTTAAGTAGGGTTTTCCTGTCCCTAACTCTAAATACTAGCAGAAATTCACTATGCTACATGGTAACCACTCACTCTGAATGAAAATAAAGCGACATCAATACGTAGAAGTCAACTCGACCACGTAAACATAGGTGTGTGTGAAAAACTACTTACCAGGCAATTACCAGTACATGAACTCACATATTTCATGCGGCAACAACATCGTAAAATTTAGACTGTCTCGCCAGACGCGCATCGACGACGACGGCGCACGAACCCCCCGTCGACTCCCCCGCAAACACAGATGTCTTTCCAGGTCGAACCACTATGTGTCAATCCGCGCTCCCTGCGCTCATTTTTTTAATTAGATTTAATTAATGTCCGTAAACCATTAATTAATTAGGCGTAATTAGCGTAAAATTAGCCGGATACGAAATGTTCGAGATGAAAACTGGTGTCTGGTCAACTGTCTTGCGATAAAAGTGTGTGTATTCTCTCAATCGAGATCTGATTTGCTATCTCTCTCGGCTTATCTTGTTTATCACTCTGAGACGTTGGTCCGACTTCTCTTGTGACGTCGATATTTGATTCTCGTTGTGTTATTCGTTAATGTAGCTTAAACTCCCTCGTTAATAATAATACTTATAATGTGTCTCGCTGATATGATTGACTATTTGATGAGTGTGTTGTCTCTCTCTCCGCTGGTGTGCGCTCGAGTGTATTTGACTTGACGATCGGTTCACCCCTCGCTAGTTTAACTTTAGTCCGTCTCTTATCCACGTGTCTAAGTCTCTAAGGTTTTTTGGAGTGATCCTCGATTCCGCTCTCATTGTCCCCCGAGACATGTCGAGTTGACTGGATCGGTACATACGACCATAGCTTCTTTGTATTTTTGAAGATTTTCTCGTGTTACGTCGTAGATCGTCTGTTGTTGACCTTTGTGCCTGATAATCTTTTTTCGTAGAGAGGACAACGAAGGTCTTCCGGTATTGATCTGAACAACTGAAATCGCGTTGGTCTGATCCAAATTTTTTAGATTAGTTAAGTCAGGTGTGGAAGATGGTGTCTAGCAAGGGGACGAATTCGGTCCATGTACAGGTCTGGGCAGACTTCAAACGATCTCTCGTAAATCTACTAGGTCTTCTTCCTAACCCTTCTCTACATGTATACCAGTCTACTTTTGGTTTTATCTTGAAAAACCATTTTTGAGTTGATTTCTTGCCACAACCTCCTCTTTTCTTACGACTCAAACCGTAGGGTTTTCTTGTAGCTTATGGATGATCACTTGTACGCCCCACGCTTTGTAGGTACGAAACCCCGACAAGAAGACGTTTCCCTGGTCCTGCTGACTAGGCACAATTCTCCTTTATTACTTACCCCGGGTACCTAGCACTTCGTGAAACGTCAGACTGTTGGAGGAAGGTAGGTCGTCACCGTAACTTCTACTTTGTACCGACCGCGAAACGTCGTACTGTTACTAGGGTTTGTGTGGCGGGCCCGTTACTTCTCACCGAAGCATTTCTCGTAAGTTCAGGACCTCACCGGATGGTCGAGGTCTAGAGTTGGGTATCTTTATAGAAACCTCCCTCAACTTTCAGACACACACGGGTCGCCTGTCGGGGGTTTTGTAAGTGACGAGATCTCCTCTCAGACCCGTACCTCCTTACCGGGTTTTATGCGTCGTTGTCACACACTTTGCGAACACTTTCTGAATGTCTTTTGCAAACTGCGGACAATAACGGTTGTTTCCCATACTATGTTTCTTAACTCTAAATTGAAAACAATAAACTGCGTCTATGAATAAAGGTGCGTATTAAAGCCGTTATTATGAACGATTTTGGAGTCGTGTAAACTAACAAGACCTACAAAAAAAGAGGTAGAAACAGGAGAGTATCAACTCCATATGCGATCCTACTTTTAATGTCCCGGACGAGAGTATAAAATTCACCCTCTTGAGTGGTTAACACCTCGACTGATCTATCGAAAAAACCCGGGGTGGACATATATTTTATTTAGCATAATATATGTTAATAACGGAGAGTACCCTAATAATACGCCTATTCCGCCATTAGATGAAGTATGAATCTCGATGCAGCTTTCGTCTTTCAGATCCCGTTGTCTTGTTTAGACGTTTCACGAGAGTCACCGCGTACAGTCGTTTTACTAAAAAATTTTCAGTTTTAAGACTCTTTTTTTCAGATTTAAATCTCTAACGTAACACCTTGTACATCAAATACCCGTTACACAAAGATACATTTCGCCCTGGTACATGGCTTATTATTTTGTATATAGTAGAACGCTCGAAGTAACAACCCCGGTGTACTTTACTTTCAGCCGCCCGGCCTAAACGGGGGCCGGACTCAACCTGTGGACCCGGGCTAATGTTCCTTAGAAATTCCGATTTTCATCGAGGACTTGACCGCTTAAATCCTCTTTGAGGATTTGTATTACCCGGGCACAGTCAGAATTTAAATCTGGGATAAAATAAGTGATTCTTTTTAGTGTTTCATAAAATCCGGAATTTTCCATCGTGGATTCAAATCCTCTCGAATTTCAGCAGCTTCTCCTGAGGAGGGATTGAGTCATTCCTCGCCTCGAGAGTGTTTCTTACGACTTTTACCGACCGCTCTAGCTTTACAAATACCTCTGTTACCTTTCTGACACTTAACTAGTTCCTCTAATCGCGTTTGCACTCCCATAGTTTGAACAACACCTTAATCAGCGGCCCTACGTTATTTGTAGGGGCTGATTGTCCTACTTGGGCTCAATCAGAGCCTTTATTTTTACGGACCGTTGTGATGCTAATAAATCGTTGTCCCTTTTACG